TTAGGCTAGTAACTTTTGCAATCTGCCTGTGGAATTTCATGTTTTGAATGCTCTCAATATCTATCTCCTCCTCTCAACAGTTGCTTGTTGATAATGCTATGGCTGAAGTTGGCATGGGCGAGGAAGCTGGTATCAGAGATGGCTCCGCATATGCAAATGGGCAGGTCTGAATCCAGGTTGAAGTATGATGTCCGCATTGAGTTTTTCTTCAAGTTTCAGTTGGAAGGGTATTTCTATGTTGGGGTTCAGTTTTTGATGTAGAAAATATTCTGTAGCAGTCACTATCTTGTATACCACTAATTTGCATAATATAAGTGTCGTTATGCAACGAAGTGACGATAATATCTATTCTTAATCTTGGTTTAAAAAAAAATCATAGTTATAGGTTAATCTTAGTACATGTATGTTGGCGCAAGAATTGTGGTGCACTCTGCCTAAGTTTTGCTTGTTCGACTGCACTCTCATGTAATCTTCAAATGTTGATGTTGGGCGACAATTGTGGGCAGGTTTTTTGACAAGGAATGTTCTAGTTTTACCTACCACTTCAATGTCTATATACCTTCTCAACCGAAGGCTGTGTTCGACAGCCACTCAAAATGGGGTTGAGGGCGGGTGCTGACCCATTTTGGGAAAAATAATCCCTGGTTTGAGAAAAAATTGGGCCTCTTTAGCCAAAAAGTGGCCTTTAAATTAGTTCTTTGTTGACCATCTCCAATGACCGAGTTTGGCAACTCCATGCTAAATCGGATTATAGGATTGAGGGTAATTAGGGAGGGATTGAGGGTATGGAGTGGACGTTACCTAGTTAATAATGGCCTTTTCTTGCTTAACCCGGGAGGGAAAAAAGGAGCCCGATTCTCAATTCTGGACCTATTTTAGGCAAATGTATATTTACAACCCTTACTAGGTTACTTTATTATAAGTAAATGAGGCAATTACCAAATTGGCCCCATGGGTTTAAACATACCATGGTTTACGATAAAATCAGGTATTGATTGATTTCGGTTCAGTTTTGTTAGGGCAGCCAAATACGCCTAAGGGCCAAGGGTTTGTTTGACAACCCCTTAAAATTGGACAGGATTGATTTTGCTCCAGCGTTTTTTTTTTTTTTGGTATGGAAAAGAAATAGGCTAGAAATGACCCGATTTTTGTAGCCCAAAATTTGGCTGTCTAAAATGTTTCGGTTTCCGAAGTCTTTTTTTGAACCAGGCCAGGACAGAGTTTTGGGGTCGGTTGCCAAATAACCATAACTCCGTTGTTCCTAAACTCAAAATAGCGGAAGGAGTCCTGCCTTATCCATAATTGATCTGTGGATAGTTGCAAATACTCTTTTTCATATTATGAGTCTGGCCGCTTATGTCACCATAAATAATGTAATTATCGATTAACGCTTCTTCAAATCGAGCTAGATAGATTGAGATTGAGATATCCCACGGGAATCATGTGAAAATAATACGACCTTTTGCCCAAGGTTCATCTGGGGAAAAGAGTAAATCGCTATTCAAATTGATAACGCTAATGAAAAAAATTTGGAGGGCACGAGCGTATGCATCATCATGCGACATCATAGGACATAGTAATATATCTGCAATTAATCCTTGATCTATTGCCTTCAGTGGCATCCCTGTTAACCTTAGGATTGATAACGTGAAAATCAAAAATTCTTTTGCAAAATAACTTTTACCTCATGTAAGTAACAGTCCTACTATGGCGTATTCCTTTTTTACTTTAAGAAAACATGTTAATAATACAGACATTGTAAGAAAATGTTATTTAAACACAGATATGCAACGCCAACAGTTGTAATAACAGTAAACCTAAGCTTGTCCATCCGGCGCGGCCCGGCCCGACCCAGAAAACTGGGCTCGGCAGGGCAAAACCAAAGCCCGGGCCTGGTTGCCCCGGGCCGGGCTCTGGGCCGGCCCAATTTTTTAATTTTTTTTAAAATCTCTTTAAATTTTGAAATATACATAAAAAATTACAGAAAATTCTAATAAAAAACAATCATATTATTAATAACTTAAAATGACATAAATTACAAATACAAAAAATTATAAAAATAAAAGATGATAAAAATAACTTCTTTATTAATAATCAGTAAATTCTTTACAAGTATAAATTTATTTTGGAATTCGTCGCATCACAATAGATGAGTACATCCCAACTAGGTTGGCACTTACTCATCTATATCACTATCATATACAATTGTTTCTAAAATAATTCATTACAAATTTAAAGCTAAGAAATAAAAATTATAAATTGATGAATATTGTTTAATCTTTATATCTATTTGCTAGTCACAACTCTTCAAATTTATCTTCAATTCAGTCATCCGATCGATGCCTTGCATTCGCTTCTTGTACCTCCACCAATCTTGTAAGCACATCACCGCTTGTACAATATACGGATCTAAACATCTCCTGTGATTGTCAGTCAAACGTCCTGTTGTGCTGAAGGCGGATTTTAAAGCTACCGTCGAAACCTGCACTATTAGTAAATCACGAACCATGGTGGAAAATATATGATATGAAACTGATCCATATACTCTCCGTAATTATAAAATATCTAAAGCATTTCCTTGATATTTAACTAAAGAAGCAGATAAATATTCATCTATTTCAGAAACCTCCAATGATGATCCAACTCTAGATCCACCAGTTAACTCAGCTACCATTGCATACCTATCAAAACTTACACTTTTACATTGGTTTGAGCTTGAAGGCGCCGAAGTTGCAGACTGTTGTGCAGCTACACCATGTCTAGCTACATACTCATCATATAAGGTTTGAAAATAATTTCTAATAGCTAGATGAATAGTAGTAGTAAGGATGGATCCATCATCTAAGTCTATAATCTGTCTACCATACAATGATTGTAACAAACTTCGAAGGCCAAATATCCTTCAAACATGGATCAATAAGAACCCCAAAACAAAAAATATGAGAAATATGCCTAAAATACTTATTAAATTTGCTCTCCATTTGAAAAATTATCTGTCCAAAAGTATCATTCATACGATATTTGGTAATTTTTTTTTGAATATTTAAAATTTGTAAAGCAGCTAAAGTAATAGTAGGATAATAACAGCCAAATAATAGCATTGTAGCATCATAAAAAATTTATAACATCTCATTTAAATTACATATAATTGTCCATTCATCTTCAGTTATTCCATAAGTGCGACCAGAGATAGAACTAGAAGCAAAATAATTTATAAAATAATTTATAATTTTTATATTCTATTGCCACACTTAACATTGCATAGGTGGAATTCCACCTATGGTCAACAGCTTTTGGAATTAGTCTAGGCTTAATATTTTTTCTTTTACAAATTTGTTTCCATCTTTTAAGTTTTTGTTCAGAAGCATTATGTATATAAGCAACTGTTCTAATCTTTTCTATTATGGGTTTAATTTCAGTAAATGCACTTTGAACAATTAAATTTAAAATATGACATATACATCTAATATGAAAAAGATCACCATGACATGGCAATGACAGAGTTGTTTTGATAAAATCTACAGCTACATTGTTATTACTTTGCATTATCTAGTGAAAGAGAAAATATTCTTTGATCTATTTTTAGTTTCATAAGTTCTTCAATTATTAAATTTACAATATTAATATCAGTATGTAACTCTTCAATTGCAATAAAAGAAACAATTCTTTTAAACATTTATCAATTTTTATCAATCCAGTGTGTTGTGATACATAAATAACCAGTTTGTGCTCTAGATGTCCAAATATCAGAAGTTAAAGAAAATTTATAGTTTAAATATTTAAAATAAGAAATTATTTTTTCTTGTTTCGTTTAATAATGTTTTAAAATATCACGTTGACAGGTTTGGTGAGAAAAGTTTTTAAAATCGGGATAAAAATTATCTCTAAACATATCTTCAAATTCATCATCTTCTACTAATTTAAAAGGAAGATTTTTAAGAATGATAAACCTGATGACGCATTTCATGGCTTGAGCAGCGTCATAATTCCAACTACCGAGACTACTAGAAGAGGAGGATTGAGAAATCATAGATTATCAGATATCACCTTAAGGATTCTGACATTTGTTATGTTTTTCTATATGGCGTTTGAGGTGGTTGGTATCGCTCTTATGATGAGGAAATCATAGATTGTCGGATATCACCTTGAGGATTCCGACATTTGTTGTGTTTTTCTATATGGCGTTTGAGGTGGTTGGTGTCGCTCTTATGATGAGCTTGGAAAATCTAGTCGCACAACGCACATTTAGCCTTCTGGGTGAGGCTCCTACCGTGTTCATCCTTGGTAACGTCTATCTTCTCAAAAAAGTTCCACACATCAGATCTCGACCTTTTAGGAGCCCCTGGTGCAGATTCGTCGCCATCAGATTCGGGATTAACACCGGTAGGATTGGTAGGAGGACTAGTTGTTGTAGGAGGACTCATTTCAAGATTGGTAGGAGATAGGTTTTTCTCTTCATAATCAGATTCAGAAGCCATTTGATGGAAGGATTAGAAAGTATAAGAGATTATTAGAGAGTATAAGATTGTATAAGAGAGTATTAGAGAGAAGTAGATGAGTTTTGGTGTAAGGAGAAGAAGTGAAAACCCCCCTCTATTTATAGAGGCAGCCTCCTAGACAAATAAACAAAAAACTTTTACCAAATAGCCGTTTTTTGACAGTTTTTAGGGGCAAAACGGTCAAAACGATCAATTTGGCCATTATGGCCGGGCCAAAACGGTCACATTTGTGACCATTATAGCCGGTCTTATGACCATTATGGCCGGGCTGGACCGGGCCGACCCCCCCCCCCCCCCCAGCCACAACGGTCACTTTGGTGACCGTTGGGCGAAAACGATCACCTTTGGTGACTGTTTTCGCCGGCCCCCAACCCGACCCGGATTTTTGCCCGCAACGGTCACCAAGGGTGACCGTTGCAACTAGGCCGGGCTTTGGGCTGCCCTGTACTATACCGGGTTTGGCCCGAATATCCGGGCCGATCCTGGGTCGGACGCGGACCGACAGGTTTTTTGGACAGGCCTAAGTAAACCCCATCTCGAAGAAATGCAAGCACATTCTTGCATTTGCAAACACTAGCTGGCCATCAAATCCCAAGAAGCACTTTCCAAAAAACTAACAAAATTCCCTTCTAATACTAAGTATGTCCTTGTTCGGAAAAATAATCATTGCTAAGTCACATGTAGAAAAAGCTGCAGGGCACTGACTCAATGATAATTTGATGCTTTTGTCTACGGAATTTCCTTCTCCTTTGATAATGTAATTTTCTGCAAACCGCATCTCAAAGCACCTCTAGGCACAATCGACCTCTTTCGTGATGAAGTTAACCAAGTTAGCTAGAAATGATTTGATTGTTGGTAACATTTCCTTCTGGTTAGTCAAGTGTATAATACTGATATGCAGTTGAGTGGAGAAGACACAACAAATATTATCCTATGATATTCTTATTCCTTCTCCTGTCCACCAAAGAGCAAATTAGGATCTAAAGGGGCT